GAAAGTTGTGCTCTGCAGACAATGTGATAGCCAACACATCCCTAGGTCATCCCTGTACGATGACCCACTAGAACGATGGATCGCATATTGACGATTGTTAGTCACAATTGCAGCGAAGATAGATCTCATCGTTAAACATAGTTTACTGATCAGCCTTCTTTGTGGGTAGACGCTTTTTATTGCACTCAATATTTCTGTTTCGCACCCGTTAGTTTAATGCATTTGATGTTGGAGATGCCTATCTTCTTCGAATTTTTTTTATCTTGAATCAAATGTTTCACAGCTTTGTACCCTCGCCAAAAGCGCTTCTGCTTTCGACCAATGGCGATTTAATGACTTGGCAAAGCTGTACTAGCCGTTAAGAGAGTCACCTAGTGACTGCCAATTGGTACATGGCTCGTTGCGTTCTGTCCAGGTTGTACATACGATTAATAGAGTCTAAAACAGCATTTCATGGTGTCAGTCTTGAAACCTATTCCAGACCCCACAAAAATTCACAATTGTATTTGTCGCATGAATTTATAGTTTTTAAACGTGGAAAACATAATTCTTTGTTTTCAGCAGCAGCGCGTCACATATAGTTGCTTGACGCCTCTGAATCTATCCGGGCATGGACTTACCTGAAACCTAACTAGACGACAAAATATAGGCTAGCATTCTTTGGATGTGTCGCTCAATTATTGGGATAAGTTTCGGTAACTTCGACTTCCACAAGTTACGGTTGAATCAACCTGCCTCCTTTCAGCTAATGAAGCTTCATATTCACCCAGAGATGATATGTCGGTCTGGCTTGACCTTTGATATTTACGATCGGATACAAAGAGGACGCGCAGGTGTTATCCTGTAAAAGTACCGAAGGTGCAGCCCGTACGATTTCCCAGCCGCTGCTCAGAAGCCCAAATACTACTTAACCTGGCGGAAACCAATCACATCTGACGCATTCTTAGTTTTCTTTCACCATAACCGATTCTTATTGATCGGATGTTGTTCTCTGCATGTACAATTGAACTGGATGTCTGTAAAAGATCTCGGGTGTGAGTCGCACTTGGACGTAAAATATTCCTTGGATTCAGAAACTGCAACCGGTCGCATAAAGGATCAGCCGACAGAGCCTTCCATGATTGATCAAAGTGCAACAAGGCATTATCCGTGGCGGGTAGATCCTAATTTTGATCGCATACTGCAGGCTTGATTAAGTAGAGCAGATACATACCATCTTTTGCATCATTAGAGTTAATTTCTTGCTGAGTGGGCGATCGAAGGTTAGTTCCTATTTTTGCGCGCAATATTCTGACTTGAAGATAATAGTTTGACTCATTAATTCTCTTTTTAGAGCAGGGCCGGGGCCGAGGTCACGGTCATCTCAGCAGCTCGTTTCCAAAAATACATTTTTGTCATTGTCCTAATGCTTACGCAGTCTCGCGCTACAGAGCGCTCTGTAAGTCTTTCGATGTGTAGTTGATATTTTTGTGGGTCTCGTCAGCCTGATTTCGTAGCTCATGGGCATTTTCAAATGAGTGGCAGTCGTTTTTGGGCCTTGGATCGACAGTTGCGCTTTATTCTCAGAATTGATTAAAATGAGGGAATGAGACACTACTGACCGCATCTTCTTAAGCCGCGATAAAATAGGTGAGCGATAATGCTACGGCTGGTATGTTTTATCAAGACAAAAATGTCGGATTGATGACAAATGCAACCAGATTCAGCAGGGTTTTGGATGAAGGTTCTGTTGGATATTAATGGAAAAGGCAGCATGCGTGCAGGCGACCGGAAGCCAGATCCCCGTGGGCCATTATGGATGCATCGAGTAGACAATGTTGAAGGTACAATTCTGACTATATTTCGCTTTTCAGGCCAATCGACTGAGGCGTAAACGTTAGAACCAATTAGATCAGGCGTAGGCGCGCACCTTTGTGAGACCGCATGTCTTTGCGTTTAACGTGTAGTATGCATGTATAATCCAGCTAAAACTCCTTGAATATAGTTCTCACTTTCACTTCAACGCAAGTGCCAGAAGAATAGGTTATGACACCAACAGACAACGCAGCTATGAAGGCGGCCCTGCCCCCCCCCCTTGCCCACAAAAGGAGCGCAGCGCTACAGGAAGAGAGAGTCGCGCCGGGCTTAGGACTACTCGTGAAGCTGATGATCAAGCTCGTGTTCAAGGTCGACAGCTTAGAGCATCTATTGAAATGCAACAGCAGGGCGTGCCGATTACGCCGCCCAGACATGAGGCCGGACTCGTTCGAAGCGTGTACCGTCAGGCATTTCGACATGCTGATATTCTTTGATACGGGGTTACATGCGCCCTTGTGAGAAAAGGCGGGTCACACCAGATTGTGCGATCATTCATAGGTTTGTATTAGACAATTAGTGTAATAACCTAGTGGTGTGGCTACCCCGTAACATGAAGCCCTTAACAAGAAACCACCACGTGGTAGGATTGCCAGTAGTAATGCATATTACAATATAAATTAGGTTTTGCTATATTAATTAGGTGTTACTGTATTAATCAGGTAGCCCTAGGGTTTTAGATATTGGCGGCCCTGCCGGAACTAAAAAATTAAATATAGTTTTGTATTTGAACAGAAGTGTCCGTTCGCCTTGGTAAGGCTTTAGCGCGTAGAAGTAGCGGATTCGGATCCGCTACACTTGAACTGGTTCTTTGAAAGAACATAAGGTCGGTGACCTTGGCTTAGCTATGGCAGCTCTACTGCAGCCTGAGTATGTATAGCATACAAATGCATGAGCTCGGCGCTTCAAAATTCGGCATGGGTGCACAGACGCCGGACGTGCATGGTGGACTTGGTAATGAACATCAAGCGCGAGGTGTACCATTCGTGGCTCAAGGACCAGCGCCACCACCGCTGCAGTATCCGGTCCAGCAACTGGCTGCACAGTATCAAGCGCACCAACCGTTGCCGCGGTAACTCAACGAGAGAGTGCCGCCGGCCAAGGGCAAAGCTTTATATGCGCAACTTCGACGACAGCGAAGTCTACAAGGAACTTGAAAGTAGTTCGAGCTATGGACGTTGCTCTATATCGAGCAGATCGAGATGGCGGAGCAGGCGTGTGGCTACGCCTGACCTGAACGGTACGAGGTGAGCAAGTCCGGCCAGCATCTCCTTGGTAAAGCTGATCTCTTCTACCAGCAACACATCATGCGCTAGTGGGCCACACAGCCGATACTTTGGTTCGTGATGGACCAGAGGTACTTGTTGTTCAAGGGGACGCTCTCGACGCAGCAGGGAGTGAAGCTGTTCGGAGCCAAGAAAGACCCGCTGCGATTGTGGAATGAGCAATTTCTGTACTTGAGTGCTCTCATGATTGCAACAAACGCGTCACCTACATTGGTACTTGGAAACATCGTCAAGTACCAGGACCCGGACTAAGGGCACGCTTTGATGGAGATGTGTGACATTACGGGACCAGATACGCTTCGGCAAGCAAACGAGTTGGTGGTGTGGGCGCAGATGATGTCTGATGAGGATCGAGCAACAAAGCACGTTCAAAAATATGTCGTAAATGCGGTGTCCGAGACACAAGAGGGAACCCGGCGATGCTTTAACTGCAAAAAGGCTAGACACCTGAAGAAGAACTTCCCGGAGCGTTCCACTGGAAACGACCGGAGCAAGTCAGTAAAGCTCGCACTTGTTGCCGGCAGCAACGCCCAGGCAGTGAACGCTAAGAGCTGGATTCTGAACAATGGTGCCAGCCGACATCTCGTCAGCGACTCCGCGCTGCTGACAAACGTAGTGGAGTGTTCTGTCGAGGACACCTGCATGCTGCCGGATGGTCGGACGATGGATGTGGCCGAGAAAGGATCGGTGATTCTGCGAACGATTGTTGATAGCGTTACGACTGAGGTAGAGCTCAGTGACGTTTACTGTGCACCAAAACTGGCGCAGAAGCTGATCTCATACGAACGGCTGATTGCGAAAGGATGCTCTTTCACCAAGCGCAACGGAAAGCTGGCGTTGACGAAGAGTGACCACGTGGTGTTCTACGTTGACCTGAAGCAGAACGTGCTTGTGGCTAGATTCAAGTCGGTAGCCGCAAACAGTGTGAAGAGGGAAAATTGATCATGAGCGTGGTAGACCCAAGCACAGACACTGTATCGTCGGTCGTCACCACCGATACTTTGATGGGGTTTATACGCCCGTTTTTGGTCATCTGGTGCTAGACACCATCGAGAGCACGGCGAAGGACCCTGCATCCGGTATCAAGATATCGAGCCATGAGAGTAAACCTTGTTTAATCTGTGCTGAGGACAAGTAAACTCGAGCAAAACAGCCGACCAAAGACACCACAAAACTCGCACCGCTTGAAAAAACTGGAAGGGTCATTTGTATCGACCTGAAGGGTCCGATGACACTGCTTGATCGTCAAGGAAATTGATACATGAAGTACTTCGTGGACCACAAGTCAAATCACTGGAAGGTGTTCATGGCAAGAAAGAGGAATCTGGCTGCCAAAACGTTTGAGGACTTTTTTGCTGAATTTGGGGAACGGTTTGGCTGTCGAGTACACGTTCTTCGCACGGTTGGCGGCGAAGAATATCGAAACGTGAATCTCTTTTGCAAAGAAAACGGAGTGGCCGTCAAGTATCTGAAGTCGAAAACCAAGCTACAAATGGGAAAGCGGGGCGGATGCACCGCACAATTCTCAACATGGCTCGGTGCATGGTGTTGGTGTAGGATTGCCGCTGAGTTTCTGGGGCGACTCGGCTGACTACGCCACATGCGTACTGGACCGGAGCTTGTCACGCGCCAATGAGGATCGGAAGTCGCCACCCGAGATATTGACTGGTCAAGCGCCAGCCCTATGTGACATCGTGGTGTTTGGATCCAAGTGTTTTGTGTTTCGTGAACCTGGTAAGCGCGCCATGAACAGAGGGCGTGTGAGGGCGTCATTGTTGGGAAAGACGAAACGACCAAGGGGTACAAAGTGTACCTGCCTTCGGAAAGCAAAGTGGTTGTCACGCGCCATGTGCAAAACATATGCACACTGGAGCAAGACGCAAGCGCCAAGACACCAGCTGCTCGATGCCCACGACGAAGGCATCAACGAAAGTATTATTCACACCCCGCAGATCTCGTCGGCCGCACCGCAAGTCACGCCGCCGTGCTAAAGCTGATGGAGATGCGAAGATAAGCGAGTCAAAATTACCCAGTGGAGCTATAGCTTTGACCGTTCCCGAAGCCAATGACATTAACCCGCATGCAGATGACCCGGAGCCGAAAAACTATCAAAGGCGCGCAAGTGTGCTGATAGTGCACCGCGGACGGCAGCTGAACAGGAAAAGCTCGCTTACTGCAAGCCGAAAGCACGTGAAAGCTCGTCAAATTCAAGCCTGGTGCGGTTCGCTTGCATAACAAGTGGGTGTACAAGAAAAAGCGAACAGGCACTGGAAAAATTTAGCGGTACAAAGCTGGACTGGTCGCCTGCGGCAACGAACAGAAGCTCGACTGTAGTGTTTGGCAGATTCAA